CTCTCTCTCTCTCTCTCTCTCTCTCTCTCTCTCTCTCTCTCTCTCTCTCTCTCGATATAACTCACATACTCTAACCTTTTTAGTATATTCACGGATGTGTGTAGCCTCTAATTTCAGAATATTTTCATCACCCCAATAAAACAACACATAGCAGATAGCAGTCACCCCTGTTCCCTCCCCTCAGCCTCTAATCCACCTCATCTTTCTGTGGCTGTGCCTATTCTGGACATCTGTATAAAGAGAACCCTATGATCTTCCTGCCTTTTGTGCCTTTTTTTTGAGACAGGGTCTCACCACATAGTTGACCTTAAACTCATGGCAATCTTCCTGCCTCGGCCTCAGGAGTGCCGGGCCAAGCCTCACAAGTCCTGTGCCACCCTATCTGGTAGTGCCTGACTTCTTTCACTTAGCATCATGTGCTCAGGGTTCATCCACGTTGCAGCATGAATCGGTGCTTCATTCTTCTGCTTATGAATGAATAATAGACCATGTGTACATGTTTTGTTTATCCATTCCTGTTGATGGATGCTTGGGTTGTTTCTGTTTCTCTTGAATCACGCCACAAACACACATGCTCTTTTCCCATTGCTTTTAAGAGAAAGACTTACACCCTTTCAAGACCACAGGGTCCTGCTGGCCTGTCTGCCCACCTCATCTACAGCACCTCGCTCCACCCTGCCCCTCTGCCTTCCCCTGCCACTGGCTTCATACCATTCCGTATACATCCATGCCTGTCCTCTCTGTCACCGGGCCTTTGCATGTGCTGTGCATGCTTTTTTGAGAGTTCCTGGCACCTGTACCCTGGTGCATCCCCTACTCACCTTTCCTGTGTAAGAAAAAGCTTCACTCTTCCCAGAAAAACCTCTACACCTCAGGCTCTGGCACTTATCTTCCCTAATAACTACAGATGTTTCATGCGGTAACTTTACTAATCACTGCTTTTCCCCAGATTATTAGTGTGAGGAGGGCAAGGGCTGTGACTTACTTTTATTCATCATCACATCTTTCATCTGGTGCCATACTTGGTAACTGTTAATGCATGAATCGATGTATGAATGAATGAATTCTGCTTGCCCTGTGATGGGGGACAAGGGGCTAACACTCTGTTAACAATGTGGAGAGGACAGACACCCCTTTCTCCAGGTCCCACCCCTGGCCAAGATAGAGATGCTGTCACCGATCAAGACCCTGGCCTTCTAGGGAGGCAACCCCTCCAGACAGGGGGAGCATGAACAACGATGGAGGTGAATCAGCCGCAGTCTGGTTGGCTGAGGGAGGCAAGGGCCCAGCCCTCTCCCAGACTCACCTGGGTCACAGCCGGGGTAGAGGGCACTGGGGCAGGGGCAGGTGCTGGCGCTATATGGTGGGAGTCCTGCTGTGGCTCCGCCTGTCCTCTGAGCTCCTCACTGGGAACGAAATGGTACAACTGCAGTTTCCCAGCCGGCACGTAGCCCCGAAGTCCTAGGAATGAGCAGAGGTTGTCTGGTCGCAAGACACCTTCCCACCCCTTTCAGAGGTGGGGGAAGTCAGTGGCAGTGAACGCCTCCCACTCCGCTGTGTACCCATGAGGGCCTGACCACCCCCTCCCTCTCCGAGCTCAGTGCTCCTAGCTCCTGCTTGTTAACCTCCAGCGACAGAGGGCTCATTCCCTACTGAGGCAACCCACTCAGTTTTAAACAGCTCTAAAACACATAAAAATGGGTAGGCAATCGGCTTTCTGGGTGCCGGCACCACTGCCCTTGTCCCTCTAGTGGCCACCCTGGAGCAAGCCGCGTCACCGCCCTGGCAAGGCCTCTCCCTTTCCCCACAGGCAGAGACTGTCCTGCTCCTCTCCAAGTGGCCCTGTTCCTTTTCACACATCAGCTACTCCAGCACTGTTCTGACGGCAGCCACTACAGACGGCCATCGCTTCCCAAGGGCTTGCTAGGTGCCAGACCCACGTGATGCCGCAGTCTTCACAACACCGAGGTTGGCTGGCCTTAGGTGGAGCCAGCAGAGCTCAGAGAAGCTCCGTGACTTCCCCCTGTCACAGCTGGGAAAGTGGCCAGGCCAGCTCCCAGGGTCCCAAGAGCCTCCTTGCTTTAATACTCGTTCCATTACTTCTCCACTTAAGTCACCAGAGTGCCCTTTTATGAGTTCTGCCTGTTTGTGTCGCTTTCTTGATTTTTTAAACTGGCTGACTTTTAAAAACTTGGCCTTGCACTATATAATAACATGAATACAATCATGGGCTTATGGTCTAGTTATCTTTTCTAATAGACATTGAAATAATTTGGAATGATAATGAACCGTTTGAAGGAGAAAATAACTCTAATGATAGTCCTGTGCGCCCCTCGTCTTGTGAGCCACGTGCGTATCTCTGGAACGGGTTGCAGGATATTTCACCGCCCCACATTCATGGTGTCACCTGCCTTCAGTCTGGTTACACAGGGGCACCCAGACCTGAGCAGCAACCCCAAGGCCCAAGGCCATGACCAGTAGTGAAGGTGCACCCCTGACTGCCTTCATTTGGGACGTCCGACTCCCCTTGGTTTGGCTGGGACCAAGTATCCCCTCTCTGTGCATGTCTCTGTCTTTCAGGGCTCCTCTAAAGTTCTCTCCGTATATCTGTCCACCCCAGTAGCCTGGGAGGTCCCCAAAGCAGGGATTTGTCTTATTTGCAGAGCACCCAGCACAGGTGCACGATGAAGGGCATTGCGATGGAAAAGTGAGTTCCTCTTTCTGGCATCTTCGTGTCCCTGGGTCACACTAAGCTCCTTGTGCCTGAGCCCTGCAGCTGTCACCTGTGCCTATCCCCACCTGCATTTCCACGGTCAGACTTGGCCTGCAAGAGTTCCACGCCTCCCCACCAGCTGTGGCTGCAGTGGCTTTCCCAGGAGAGGAAGGGCCCCCAAAGGCCACACACCTCCAGTGTCCACCAGCCAGCGGCTGCTGTGGCCTTTGGTGTCCTTGTTTTGAAGCAGGGCCACGATCTGGCCCCGTGGCAGTGTCAGGTCCAAAGTCCCTGCCCTGCTGATGTTGCTCGTCACCTGGTAAAGCTTCCCGGGACCGTACTTGCTCAGAAGAGCCTGCACCTGGCGCTCAGAGCCTGGAAGGAGTGGCTGGGGAAGGAGGGACAAAGACAGACACAGGAGCGTGAGTGAACAGTCGAGGCCAGTGCCGATGTGTGCTGAGAGTTGGGAGGCGCAGCCTGACCCCGCCTCTGCTACGACAGGGCCCCTCTCCACGGGGGCAGTCACGCCCTCAAGGACATCTAAGAAGAGACTTCGATTATCTGGGATTCTCTAAGTTCAGTTATAGAACTCTTGGAGTTGGACCCTGCCTTCTGCCTCTGATATCAAGCTAAATTGTTCCAGAGGAAAATGCCCATTTAGGTCTCTCCCTCCTCTGACACTGCGCTCCACGGGAGCACCAGCTGGCACGGGGCTGGCAGTGGCGTCCTTCACTCCCGAGTGGAGGAGGACATGCTGACTGCGAGTTTCCACCCACAAGTACATCCTGAGCATCTACCAGGTGTGAGGCATGGCATCTACACGAGGGGCTCTGCTCGGATGGAAACTGCCATCTAGCTGGGAGAGTGACTCGGGCCACTTCCGGCTCATCCAAAAATCTCCTGGCATTTCCTGTCAGTCACTGTTCTATGCAAAAACATCAGAAAAAAAAAAAAGTCCAGGGGGTGACTGTCCCCTCTTTGTAAAACCAATGAGAAACTAAATATGTTAACTATACATGATCCTTCCATTCCTACTTATATTTGTACTCACAGCACTTGTGTGTGTGTGTGTTTACCATGTCTTGTGCAGTTATTTTGTGGGGAGATGTTAAATATGGAGCAGGCGTCCATCAGGAATATCTGGGCCAAGATCTGCCACTTCCTTAGCAGAAATTAGGACTAAGAATCAGGACAGGGCTGGGAATATAGCTGGGTGGTACAGCTCCTGCCTAGCAGGTGCAAGGCCCTGGGTTTGATTCCCAGCATCACAAAAACACACACACAAATGAATTAAAAATCAAGCCAGCCCAGGATTCCTAAGCAGGTCCTTAAACAGCAGCATAGGGACGGGGCAGCTGGTTTAGACAGTGGGGCCGGGGAGGTTTATTTTCTGAGTGATGCTGGTGACATAAGCATGTGTACTGTGAGGGAGTAGACGTCTTCCTTCTTCCTGAAGTCTGTCCACCTGCCCGGAGGCCACAAGGACTGCTCGTGTCCGGGCCAGATCAGCCAGGGATTCACAGGTCTGTGTGGGGGTAGCAACACACACTGGGATTATAAGTCTTTCCATGTGTTTCTTCTTGTTTTTCTCTCTTCATTTTTTTCTACAATAAGGATGGATGGCTTTTCCAGTAAGAAAAGTGCAATTACAAGGTACCTGAGGAGGCAGAGGAGGCCGCTACTCTCCACTGTCTGCGCGCTTCCCTTTTCCTCCCATCTGCAGGTCGGGGCGCACGCCCAGCACCCTGCTGCAGGCACAGCTCTTACTGTGGCAACTTTAGGCCTCCATTCTCCGCTCTCTGGCCAGGTCTGGAGACCATCTTTGTTTGCCTGCTTTGCTGGCCCTTTTACTTGTTTCCCTGGGTCCCTGGGGCCTGTTCCCCCTTCTGAGGCCTCTTGGTGCTCTTGTGACCCTTTCAATTCACATTTCACATGTGAATGGACAGTTTTCTCAAATCCAGGTTTGTCATTCTGGAAAACACATGCGCACGCACACACACACACACACACACACACACACACACACACCTTCAGCTACTTTTATAACACACAAGCTAGGTGCAGCGGTACACGCTTGTAATCCCAGGGACCCGGGAAGCTGAGACAGGAGAATCTCAAGTTTGAGGCCAGCCTCAGGCTTAGCAAGGCCTTGTCTGAAAATAAAAATGTTTAAAAATACTTGAAGAAGTAGTCCTGGGCTCAACACCCAGTACCAAAACAAAAAGCCAACAAGCATCCCCCACCCCCAAAAAAAGAAAAACTCAAAACCAAAAGCCATCACACCATCCAGGTGCCCCCTTCGGGGGACTGGAATATGCTTTTTCCTTATACAGTGTTTTAAAGGAAAATACTTCTTAAAAAATTGGCCAGCCAAAGATTTGTTAACCATCATACCGGTGATACAGTGTCATTTGCAACTTAAAAATATATCAAAAGGAGAATCTAAATGACTTTGTAGACGAAGTGCCCATGATTTTGAATGTTGGTAATGACGGTGGTGTTGGAAAGTAGAGAGGGAAAAGGAAACGTTGCGGTTTCCAAACCTGAAGTTCCAGTCACTTGCCCACCCTTTTGCCTAGCTCCACTTCAACAGTGAAATATTTGGCTTTGCTTATTTTCAAGCCCAGAGTTCAGTGCTGCCCGTGCTCCCCGCTCATGAAGCAGCAGCTGGAGTTCTCACCCCAACCCCAGCGTGTGGAAAAAGGAGACACAGGACTGGGCCAGGCAGAAGGGGAGGAAAGGGGGCCGAGGCTCGCCCCGCTGGCAGGCGAAGAGCTCACTGGACAGTGATGGGGCGGGAGGGACACTTACTTGTGAGGTGGAAGGTGGCAGCACCCTCTCAAAGTTCTCGCGAAAGGAGTGAAGCTGACTACTGCCTCGGTCCAGTGTGTCCTCCACCAGCTTCCGGAAGGCCGGCTCCGAGATGTGGTGGTGAGGCAGCTGGGCGGGACGGACACGTCAGCAGGAGACAGGAGGCAGGGTCCCTGGCCACCAGCGCTCGAGCTCCAGATAGAACCCTGGTCCTTTCTATCCCAGTGGGCTGCTGTGTTTTCTGCCCACTGCTCTTAAGAAAGTGTCCCCCATGGGGGTCCAGCAGGACCATCCGTCACGGGCTGTAGCCACAGGGCTGGTGGTCCTGCATCCCTTTCTCTTAACCACTGTGATTGTACACAGGATGACAGTGGAGCCAGACAAGGCCAACAGGAGCCTGCTCGTCAGTCAGTCCATGAAGGCTGGGAACATGAGGGTCACTCTTCCTTTGCATCGTAGGAGGGGAAGGTACACACTTGCAGCTTTCCCTAGCCATCTTTTTCTCACTGTACAGAACTAATATGCATTATGGAAAAGAAAGCCAACCAGGAGAGAGAAACAGATCCAAGAGATAAAATTAAAGTCAGAGTCATCCTAAAGCTAGGCATGGTGGCGCACGCCTGTAATCCCAGCACTCAGGAGGCTGAGACAGGAGGATCGCTACAAATTTGAGGCCAGCCTGGGCCACATAATGAGTTCAAAACCAGTCTGAACTATATGTCTCTAAAAAAAAAAAGCCAGGGATTTAGCTCAGTGGTGCCACTGCCTGCCTTGCAAGCACAAGGTCCCAAGTTTGATCCCTGCTACAAAAAAATTTAAAAAAGCCCATCCTGGCCACGTTATCCATCCCGGTAGAGGCCACGCCTGAGCCTCAAGCCTCTGCTGGCATGCAGATCAGCAGCTTCTTCTTTATGCTCCAGCTGGTTTGGTTTACACTTAGGTAACTCATAACCCAAGAGGCTCTAAGTAGCTCTCTGTCCTGAGACCCTGACCCTGTTACAGATCTTGACTCCTCCTCAGACAGTGATAGGTCCAACTCTCTGAGCCGTCAGAACTTGCTACTCTTAGTTCCGACCCAGAGCCATTCTCCCCCAGGCTGCAGAGAGATGGAAGTTTCTGCCATTTCCCTACTGCCTCAGGGATGGGTCCCAGGGAATGGACTGCAGGGCACAGAGAGGGTCAGCTCGCCGCAATCCCCGACAGGCTGTTAACAGTGCACAGTGCAGGGCCCGCGGGAAGCGCCCTCACTTTCTGCCCTCAGAAACGACTCTCCGATAATGGCATCCCTCCTGCACATCCCAGCCAGCGTGCACTGCGGGCCGAGGGAAGTGCAAAGATCGCCTAGTCAGATTCACTCTTCTGTCTTCTGCTGCTGGGAGGGAGAAGCACTTCTTTTGTTTTTTCTTTTTGGTACTGGGGATCGAACTCAGGTCGTTGTGCTTGCAAGGCAGGCACCAGAACCACTGAGCTAAGTCCCCGGCCCTAGCACTTCTTGCTGCAGAGGGCTCAGGTATAATTCAACTGAAATCAAGTGTCTCACCTAGAAATTTGGATTAAATGCGAGGAGAGCCAAAAAGAAGCAAAGCTCACGGTGCAGCTGACCTGCAGCTGAGCCATAACCCCGCCTCCAGTGGGAGAAAGCAGGCTCTGGAAAGCACTCAGCAGAAGTTCATCCCGAGGCTGCTAGAGCACAGATGATGGGAAGAGGGGCTCTCCTGCACCCACTACCCCAGAATCCCCCAGAAGAGGAGTTCACAGAGCGCCTGGGAAGACTCATTCCTCTGTTACAGGTCGCTAGACAGTGACAGGCCCAGAGGCATTTCAGGCCAGGGAGGGATCCATGCGAAGCGAACACGGTCACGCTCAGAAGGGTGTGCTACGGGCACAGAGTGGGGTTAGAGGTCGGAAAGGTGGGGCGGAGGGCAGGGAGGCAAGTCCTGCGGGAAATGTCACGCACAGAATTGGATAGGCAGGAGACAGCAAGTGGTGTGAGGAGCCCTGAAGTCGCTCCCAAGGTCCTACTCCTGAGCCTGATACCACAGAACGAGGTGCAGAGGAGGCTGGGTACCCTTCTTGCATCAGTTCTAGCCTTCAAACTTCTCCACTGAAAGTGTGCATCCGGAGGTTTGTCCAAACCTCTCTGGAATTTACTTCTGCTTTCCGCTGACAGCTCCTTTTACATGCTGTTGAGGATTCTGATCGGGACCAGGGCCTCGAGTTGAACGGCCAAGGTTCAAAACCCACTATCAGCTGTGCGGCCCTACCTGAGGTACTCTACCTCTCTACGCTTTGTTTTGGCTTCTTTAGTTTTGAAACCAGTATAACAATGTTACCCACTCTGCAGGGTTTGTGCTGAAGAATGAATCAAAGAACTGTGTGGGGAGTGCTCCAGACAGATAGCAACTATGCTCCTGAGGGGCAGCTGCTAGGGCGGTAGCAGTGACACTGGTTTGAGGCATTTACTGCACTCCTAACTGGGTAGAAGGTCACCAACTTGCAGCGTGTTCGAGGGATGGGTTCCCAGTCTGCTATTTTCCCAGCAATGCCTCCTATTTCCCTGATTCCCAGAACCTGGGAGATGCTGGAGTCCCAGTCTGATCCTGGCTTGTATGGTCTGACTTCACTAGAGGAGGGAAAACAGGCAGGGGAGAGATCTAGAAGCCCCTTGCTGTTACCCCCTCCGAGCCTGTCTGGAAGGTTCAACCTCCCTACCTCCCACCCTACACCCACCTGGCTAAAGGGCCATGCCCCAGGGATGCCCCAGCCCCAGCGGCCTTACCTGGGTTATGCTGCCCTCTGCCCTCTGCAGCACTTGCTTTGCAAGGTCCCTCTGCAGAGCTGCAAAAGTACGAAGGATCTGGCCCAGCCACTGCACCACCAGCTGGTTAAACTTCGGGAGCTCAGCCACCAGCAGGGAGTTGAGGGCCTGGTACGTGTGCCGGTCTGCCTCCTCCTCGTAAGTCACGCTGCCCACCTCCAACAGCTTCTCTTCCAGCCGCTCAAAGTCCAGGAGTTTATCTAGACGCTTCTTGATCAGGTTCTGAGGGCCGACCAGGGCTTTGGCCAGGCTGCACAGTGGCCGCCACACCAGGCTTTTCAGCCTCTGCTTCTGTGGGAAGAGGGGAGCTTGGGAGCCAGGAAAGGAGGTGGCAGAAGGCAGGGTGGGAGAAGGGGCTTTGGAGGCAGGCTGCCTCTGGTTCTAGCCCTCGCTGCACTGCCTGGATGTGACCTGTAGCATGTTACCTCACCTCGCCAGGCCTCAATTGTCTGTCCAAAAACGTAGATGGCTTGCAGTATGCTTATCAAGACTGCCTGGCACAAACAGGCAATCAATTTATGCCACTTCTTAGTACCGGTGATGCAGAAGTCTTGTTATTTTTATTCTTTTGGAGGTATTAGGGATCGAACCCAAGGCCTCACCCATACCAGGCAATGTACTGCTACTGAGGTAAGCTACAGTCGGTGCGCAAAGATTTTGAAAAAAAGACTCTGCATAGAGTGGTGATCAAAAGGACGGTTTGGAGCTAAGCCCTCTGTACGTGACTGACCTTCTGTATAAATGACCCAGAGAGGTCATGGCTCTGAGCTTCAAGCTCCCTTCTGCAGAATGGAGGTATTGACAGGAGTTCCCCAAAGGCGTGTGGTGAGGAGTAATGGGGTAGAGAAGACAGAGGGCTTAGCACAGTGCCGGGCAGAGGCGAGACTCGATGAACACCAGCAGGGCTATTTCTATCAGAAAATGCACTAAAACCGGCCTCTCTCCTGCACTAATACCAATCCCTACCCAAAGTGGTTTTGGATGTGACAATTGTATAAAAAGTGCACGACTTCTGAACATTACTCTTGGAGGCTCTGCCATCTGCCTGATACAGAAAGGAAGCAGAAGTTCTACTCACAAACTCCAGGAAGGCCTCATGCCACAGGTCTCTGGCCAGGCTGCAATACTGCCCCGCTGGGCCCCCGGGGATGTCCAGGTCACATTCGTGAGGCCGGAAGTGAAGGAAAGCCTGGGTGCAGGGACAGGAAAACGCACTCAGGGCTCTCAGTGGCCGTTTTACACCTGAGTCCCCTCTGGCAGATCTCCCACAGAGGGGCTGCAGGCTCTCTGCACACCCTGTGACAGGGAAGCACACGGCCTTTTCTGTCCTGCCCAACGTGGGGGATTAGAAAGCCCTCCCTAGACTGAACCAACGTCCCAGTGACCCCATGAGTGCTTTCTGACGTCACATCTCAGCATACAACCTTTGTGATACTTTTTGGTCCGTGTTATGCATATATTGATACTGTTCTTTAAATAAACGATCTCAATTTAAACCAATGCATTAAAAAAACTTATGATGCTACCACAAAGTAAAAACAAGTAACACCTGCCATAGATAGGCATGTGAAAATCATTCCTATAAAAACAAGATGATGATATTTTTGTTTTTGTTTTTTGGGTTTTTTTGTTTTGTTTTGTTTTGGTTTGTTTTTGGTTTTTTTGAGACAGGGTCTCACTATGTAGTTCAGACTGCTCTGGAACTCATGGTAGCCCAGGCTGGTCTCGAACTCACAGCGACCCTCCTGCTTCAGCCTCCCGAGTGCTGGGATCACAGGAGTGCACCACCACGCCCGGCAATATATTGAAGTTTTGTTTGTTTATTGTTTTTTGGTTTTCTTTTTGGTTTAAGACAATGGTATTAAATTCTAACTGGGCACCGCTGCTGGCTGAAGATCCCCACCCTGCCACTTGTTCTGCAGGTATTAAAGACAAAGCAGCCCAGAGGCTTTCTTGGACTTGGTCAGGAGGCTGAAAATGGGAATTTCTCACCCCAGGAGTTTATGCTAGCAACATATCCGCATCTAAGGGAACACAGCCTCAGCACCTCCAAACATTCACCTGCCTGCGAATGTCCTCATCTGGCTCCATCAAGGCCTGATACTCGCAGGTCTTTTCCTCCTTTTTCATGACCTGGCTCAGAATGCCTTCCCCTTCCTGCTCACTGTGCTACAATGGGATCCCGGTGGTTCAGACCCTTCCACTGGGGTCCCTGGATGGTGCACGAATAAGCAGGGGCACTGACCCTGTCACACGGAGGAGCATGGAGCTGTGACCGCCGTCCTCTTGCATGCACCCGATATCCCACCCCCTCCATCATGCACGGAGGCGTTATCTCCCCTGACTGAGCTGCCCTGGGCAAATGGATGCAACTGACATCTCGCCACCCAGGGCAGAATGGATGGAACGGGTCGGGACAGTGACAAGAAGGGAGGGGAGATCCTAGGTGGCCATAGAAACTGGTGGCCCTGTGGGCTGAATTTAGTTGAAGAGTTGTATCTTCTTGGGCCTGCATAGCATTTTAATTTTTATCGAACTAGCTGCTCACATTAACACATCAGGAGATTTCACCTAAAAATCTGCATTTCCGGGTCTTACTGTTACTATTGTTCTTAATCAGAAGAACTGGCCATGCCGGGCCCACATTCCCGCGCAGGAACAATCTCCCAAAGTCAAGCAATAGTGGCTCCTTTTGATCATTCATTCAGCCATCTGAATTTCAAATATACGGGAGCCCGCTGAACACATTTCATAAACTGCTTGTCAGAGGCGGGGCTCCTATTTACCGCATGGCCTATTCCCTGCACACCCCACTCGGTAGTGAAGTTACTCGCCGGCCGTCTTCTGGCATCTGAGCTATCTCCCTGGCTCTAGGTACTGGTCCCTGGAGAAGGGGCTGCTGTGGGTTGCAACCCGGCCCAGTGGAGCTGCTCTCGTGCAGTAGCACGGTTGGGGGCGCTGCTGGCAGCACAACTGACTGGGTGACCTCATCCACACGGCCGGTGGCCAATGCCTCCACAATGCGTGACTTGGCCACCAGCCCAGACCTGCCCTTTACGAACTCTGCAGGGTCCTCACCTCCAGGTTTTCCAAGTAAGTTGCCACATTGTTCTTCAGCTCTGTCACACACAGAGACACCCACTGGAATTTCTCCTCTAAATCATCAAATTCCTTGTCTTCTGTCTGCAAGCGAAGCATTGCATGTGAGGGCTGAAAGGGTCCACAAGGGGGCAGTGTACAACCAGCTCCCACCTCCCAAGTCCTCACTGGGGAGAAGCTTTCCACAGACGTGTCCGCTACGGCAAGTTCCTCCAGCACCAAAATTGAGTGGGACAGTCAGAAAGGTACTGCAGCTCAGTGGTTTTGCATTCGGACCATAGATTCGGGCACATTTGCTTCCTAGCTACGTCACCATGGTTTTACCTTCTCTGAGTCTCTGTTTTCTCATCCGTTTGCAACATGAGGATAATAAAAACACCAGTTTCATTGCACGGACCCGTCAGTCCTGGTTCATAGGAAGAACTAAAAGTGAGTTGCTGCTAATAGCTCTTTGAGGCTGCACGCACAATCCCAGAGACCAGCTCTCTCATCTGTAGAGAAGCCCCAGAAAATAAAGGCCCTTTGGAAACGGCGGGGGGCTCTTCTGGGCCCCTCATTATCTCAGCCTCAGCTGCCTCACTTCTGAAAGGAGCCTCAGCCTCCCACCCCCACCCCCTTAGCAGTAGCTGGGGCGCCTCCCCACCCCAGCGAGCCATCTCACCCTGGGCACCAGGCCCGCTTCCTGCTTCAGCATCTGGCTCAGCCGCGTGGTCTTCTTGGAGAGCGTGTGAGTGCTGATTCGGGCCAGCCGCTCCCGGAGGGTCAGCTGCTCCACCTTGGTGTACTTCGAGGCTGCACCAACACAGGCAAGAGAAGGGGCTTTTAGTGGCCAGGGCTGACCCGGGAAAGCCAGCATTCCTGGCGCAGCTTTCTGGGCCCAAGCATCCTCTTCAGGATCTGTCACTGGAATGGGGAGTCGCGGAGGGAAAATTCACGGCTCAGGGCCTCCGTCCCAGGTGTGAGCTTCCAACCTGCCCGACTCTGATGCGTCACCACTCCTCTGGGCCTCCGGTGCCTCATCTGTAAAACGAGGCTGGCCACTCGCAGAGCTGCTGGGAGGATCCCTCGGCCAGGTCTAGCCAGGCCAGCAAAACCACACTTTCAGCTTCCTACTCCTCTGCTATCTCTTACCATAGGTGGAGAAAGGAGCCAGGAGGAATCCAAAGGCACTGAAGACAGTGAGGCCTGCTGAGGAAGACCCAGGCCTGAGTGTGAGACCTGGCTCTGTCCCTTACCAGCTCCATGACTACTAACAAATGATGCAAGCCCTCCTTTTACCCAACTGTGAAATGGGTTAACAGGGCCAACCTTAGAGGCTTAGTTCCCCGTTGAACTTGAGATAACAAAAGAAACAATTGCTCAGTTCTTAAAAAACAGTTGACCACTATGCTGTTGGTCATCCCACGCCGTATACGTGTGTTTAGTTATCACACTGTGCCCATAAATATTTGTACAGTTGAAATAATAATGAAAAAGGACATATCAGCTAAATTTTTATTATCATAGTGATTCTGTGTGCAACTAAGTTTCTCTACACCTGGGATGTTGCTTCATTTTCCTAATCTTTCTACTGCCGCAACAATGACAGGGTTCCCTCCGGCCCCCTGCTGTACTCGTTTCTCCTCCACAGTGTAGCGGCCACATGGGTCCCACAGGGTTGATCTCACTTTGGCTCAGACGGTGGGTGCTGAGCAGAACCCTCCCTCCAGGCAGTGGTGGTTGGCTCCGTAGTGATTGGCATATAACCAGCCCATGGCAATTTCCTAGCCATGGGGATGGGTTCGTGGTAAGCCTGAGTGGGTCTTAACAGAATAAAGGTCCAAGTAAACTTACGGCTAAAGGGAGAGAACTCCTATCTCACCCTAGAGGAGATGGCATATAGATGCGAATTTTAGAACAATAATAGCCACTTTTTTATTTTTTAGGGAAACCAGCTTGAAGATGAAGCTAATGTAAAGCCGAGGGACAAGAGAAGTACAGGCGAGTGAAGGTACGATCCTCATCGAATCGAACCTTAAGCCTGTATTACCTCTGGATGCATAATTACAAAAGCCATGGCATCTTCTTTATTGGTGAAGCCAGTTTGCTCTAAGGTTTTCGTAACTGGATGCGCTCTCCTGATGTATTCCCTAAATGGCCCGAGTCCTTACCCACTTCCTTGCGCATCTTGTACTCATTGATGTTGGCATTCACGTCCTGGAGGGCAGAGGTGGCCCTCTGAAGGACAGGGTAGGAGCTGGCATCGGGGAGTGTGTTCTCCAGGATTTTCTGCAGCAGCAGTGGGTACTTGGTAATCCTCTGCACAGGAATTACCAGTATGAAGCTGAGGCCTGACGGTCCAGCTTGTGGCCTAAGGGAGAAGGCTGGTGTTAGGCAGGGAAAGCCCGCCCTTCTGGGCATCAGGGGTCCTGGGCTATATTCGTATAATCTCAGGCAAGGTGCCTCCCCGCTGTGGTCCTCGCGGTCCTCGGGAGTAAGGTGTAAGTCCAGATGCTAGATGGGGTGGGTCAGGCCTGCTCCCCCATCTGTACCTAACCCAAGGGTCCGTTCTCCGTTCTCAGCTTCCTGCTCTCCGGGCAGACACAGCTGACCACCACCTCCCCTTGAGACGCATTCTCTCAGCCCCAGACCCCCATGCAGCCTTCTCTGCTGTCCTCGCTCCAACGCCGGAGCATCCTGGGGCGTCCTCTCCACCCATAACTCTCTCAGTGACCTCATTCGGCCCTATGGTTTTAAGATCACATTTCTACCCCACACTTCTATCCAGGGCTCCAGACTCACCCATTCAACTCCCTCCTTGACACCCCTACTCCAGTATGTCCCAAGCACAGCTCTACGCTGGACATTCACACGATACTTTACTTAATACAAAGCCTGCTGCTTTTAAGAGCTTGTTTGGAGTTCTAGCAGAAGAGCACATTTACTCGTATAACCTTGGCCGAGGAAACGGTCCTCTTATAAGGGGTCACCCTCTCTTACCAAGTGTGTACCTGTGGGAGAGACGCACATACTGCAATGAGGCAGGAAGGAGACGCCTGCCCGGCCGGCCAGTCAAACCAGCTCAGACAACCCTGGAGAGCCATAGGTGACAGATGTCACAGCCAGGCTGTCCTCACATCCTGTTATGCTGCCATTTATTTATGTATTTATTTATTTTGAGACAAGATCTTGCTATGTAGTCCAGATTGTCCTTGAACTCACTATATAGCCCAGGCTGGCCTCGAACTCATGGTGATCCTCCTGCCTCAGCCTCCCGAGTGCTGCTGGAATTACAGGCATGCACCACCGTGCCTAGCCTCTGCTGCTTTTTTTTTTTTCCTTCTGTACCAGGGATCAAACTCAGGGACTTGCACTTGTGAGGCAGTCACAGGGTGCCACTGAGCTAAATCCCCCTCTGCTGCCTTTTAAAATCACACACACTTAATTCTTCCAGGTGCATTTAAGGTATAAATACTGTATACTTTAGTGTAAAGTTATAAATACCTGTCTAGTAGCAAAAGTCACAATTCCTATAACTTCTTAAAAATTGTTTAGCATTTAAATAGTTGAAGCAAACAGCAAAATGTTAACTCTTGCTCGTTTTAGGTGGGAGGATGGGAATGTTTGTTGCATCACCCTACTGTTTCTAAAGGCTTGAAATTTTCAGCAGAGAAAAAGGCGCTGGAACACACGGAGCTGAGTCCACTCCAGACGCAGCCCTGAAGCGTGGGTGACCACGTCCAGGCCCCTTCTTGATGTCTGGAGCTTCATCAGGGAGTCCCGGGTCAAGGGCACCCAGGACGGGCACTAACAAGATTTTCTTGGTTTGCCTGGTTTCTGAGAAACCCGCAGAACTTCAGCCTGTAGCCGTCCGAGTGCCGCCTCTGAGAAGCCTCACAAATGCTGCTCAGGTCTGTCCTGCAGCCCTTCCCGGATGGCTCCCTGGCCCCTACTTATTCCTAAGGAAAAACCTCCAGACCAAATGTCCCGGAAAGATGAACCAGGAGGCCGGGAAGATGCAGAGCAGGTGGATCCCCTCAGAGGCAGCGGGCCTGGGGAGGCAGGGATAGGACCCGATAGGACCTGATAGGACCCGCCTCTGCTGTCCGTCTGTCCTCACCAAGGGTGTCCTGGAGCTTGGCTGACAGTGGGCAGATATTTGTAAAACCCCATCCTCTGGGCTGACTTTCCCTGGGAAAGAGCCAGCTGTCTCCTGGGAAGCCTGGCACCTCACGAAGCGAAGGGCGAGGGGCCTGTCCCTCAGAGGGCTGATGACATCATGCCAGCTCCACAACCATCAGGCGTCTCCAGCGAACCACGGTGGCTGTTCACCTCTATAACCTCTCCCAGGTAATCCGCAGATGTTTTATTCGGTCTTTCAGATGCGCACCGAGAACAGAAGGAGAATCTGCAGATCTGGGTGAGTGCGAGGGGACAGGACCTCTTCTCCCAGTCCCTTGGTGGGAGTACCACTTAGCAAGGATTTCTCGGAGAACAGTGAGGCAGTTTCTGAACTGCACAAACCCTTTGCTCCATCGACCCTGCCCTAGAAATCTACCCTGTTCGCTTAAGCAAGCAAAGATGAGGGCAGAAATTATTCAGCCACTGTATTTATCATTGCAAAAAAAAAAAATTGAAAACAATCCAAAAATCCATCAACAAGAGAAGGGTCAAGTAAACCAGAGTCCATAAGCTGTCCTAGAAGGACCTCTGTGTAGGCGTGAAAAATAACACAGGAGAACTATTCATACTGTTGTGAAAAGATAGTCATAAACCCAGTGCGGTGGCGCACACCTGTAATCCCAGCACTCACGAGGCTGAGGCAGGAGGATCGCTGTGAGTTTGAGACCAGCCTGGGCTACATAGTGAGTTCTAGGTCAGTCTGAACTACATATGAGACCCTGTCTCAAAAAAACAAAGCAACAAAAAAAAAGATATTCATAACTCTGCTGATTCAGTGAGAGCAAGTTCTAGAGCAGCATGTTTACTAGAAGCTCCTAAAAAGTATCCTCCCTGCTTATCTGTCAATCTGTCTGTCTGAGAATATACAGAAGAAAATCGGGACGGAAAATATTAACAACTGGGAGAGGGATGAAGAAATGGGAGACCAAGGAAGAGTGAACTTTTACTTAGTATATTTGCATATAATTTTCTTTCTTTTTTTAAAAAAATAAGCATATAAAAGGCTGGGGATTTGGCTCAGTGGTTCTGCCACCTGCCTCACAAATGCAAGGCCCAGAGTTCCATCCCCAGTACCAAAAAAAAAGCACATACTGCTTTTAGATTTAAGACAAACAATGAACTGATAAAGGGAAAGAAAGAAGGCTCTGTGCCTCCTGCAAACTGAGTTGCCTCAACCATCATTCCAGGACCTGGGTGTTCGTGTGACTGATGCAAGTCTGCCTCCACCCGTATCTAAGCAGAGCTCCCTGCTCGCTGCAGAAGGGCGTCTGATTCACTTGGCTCTCAGAGGCAAGTGCTCCCTTGAAAGACAGGATAAAATGAACACCTTCCCAAATAAAGGAGCAAGGTAGGCACTTTGGAACCACGGAGAGTCTCATTAGAAGTACATCCATGCTGATGTCCGAGGAAGGATCAGGCAGCACGGTGACTTGAGGTGGCCAGGCTCAGGGAAGTAGCCTGTGGTCGTAAGCACCAGAAAGCCAAGATTGTTGTTTCAGGAGGGAGGAGATCAAAGCGCAGGCTGACAGGAAGGGTGTTGCCCCTGGCACAGTCTGAGACCAAACACTCTCAATCAGGGCTCCTGGCAACCTGCAGGCCTGGGGGTTCCAGGCATGGAGCAGGCAGAGGCCAGGACCCGGAGGCCTTTCACACACCATTCCACACTGCAGAGAGGAGTTCCACATTTCAGTCGTTGCTCTGGACATTCAAAAACTAAACAAAGGCCTCAGATCTGCTGTGATTTGGGGAGCCATAACAGCTGTCACGCTTGAATGCTACCCATCACATGGTATAACACTGGAAATCACCATGACATCACCTTTTTGTCTGTTTGCTTTTTGAGACAGGGTCTCACTATGTAGTTCAGACTGCCCTGGAACTCACTGTGTAGCCCAGGCTGGTCTCGAATTTGAAGCACTCCTCCTGCCTCAGCCTCCCGAGTGTTGGGATTACAGGCATGTGCCACCACGCCTGGCAACATCCCCATTTATACACAACATGCCGGCCATGTGCAAGAGCATCACCTTCCTGTGGTCTCTGACTTCCCACGGGGGAATGTTATCCCTACTTCAATCACTCTGCTTTCTCCTTTCTCTTATCGTATACAAGGCAGTCGGAATTGTTTGGAATTGGCATCTTCTGCCCTTCACCTTCCTGTACTCCTTGCACAGGATGACACTAGTCTTTCCTTTAATCCGGACGTATTTGTTCTAAGTAGATGCTAGCATCTGGATGCGTCACGATGGCATTAATGTCACGTGACCCAAGCATATGCACGATGAAATACACATCCTTTTATTAGAAATTATTTTCTTTTATTTCTCCTCTGTATTACAGTTAAGTCATCAAATTGATTATTCAGTTATGAATATTAGGTAGGATTTTTTTTCAAGCCCTGTCTTGGGACTGATGGAGTTGGGAACCAGAGCATGGACTCAGAGAAAATGTATCCCTGCCCAGCTAAGATAACCTAGACCAGCCGGGATTCACTGAGAGTCACGCGGACCACGCAGCTGCACTCCATGAGGTGCTTTACCCAGAAGAAAACTAGATGTGAAGTGGCTCCCTCCCAGCCAGGGGCTGAGTCAGATCTGCTGCCTGGCTCCAGGGCCTATGAGAGAAGCTCAGATTGCAGAGGATGTGACAAGCAGCGGCTTGGTGCCAACTAGGGCTCTCACACAGCACCTTTAATGTGTGATGCCTGGATGCCTGGGTCATGTTATACCCAAGTCTCTAGTTTCGCGTAAGAAATCAATGGATCTGGCTACAGGGGACTTGCTTTCTTTTCTTTTCTCTTTTGAGACAGGGTCTTGCTATTATTTCATGCTGGCCTTGAACTCACTATGTAGCCCAGGCTGACTTTGAACTCATGGTGATCCTTCTGCCTCAGCATCCTGAGTGTGGGGTCCACAGGCACGTGCTACCACGCTGGTTACAGGAGACTCACTTTCTACGTGGCACTCCAGGCAGGTGGTTTGCAAAACACGGCTGTAATTATTTCCCTTCCTGTCTCCACAGACCTTTGGTTATGAATTTGGAGGCCCTCTCACCAAGAGAGAAATCTGTTTCCCTCCCACAGACCTGGGCTTAGCTGTACCACTTGATTTAAATGGCACTGAGACTTCTGAAGGCCTTGCTGTCACCATTGCCCTGGCAGCCTGTGACCGCCACGCGAGCAAGCCAGCCTGCCCCGCAGGAGGAAGAGAGAACTCGTGGCCAGAGCTGAGCCCGCGCCTGCGCCCCAGATCAGGAAGGAGCCCAGCCAAGGGCAGCAAAGCTGACCGACCCAGGGATCCCAGATCCATTGGGTGCTCAGCGATGACCAGAAGAGTCTTTTTCCTGACCCCTGTTAAATTGCTAAGATGAAGAAGTGTGAGCTAAACAAATGTGTTTTCAGTCGCTGTGTTGTGGGGGTGGTTTGTTCCCTGGCAAGAGCTACCAGACACAGGAACAACCCTCGGGCTGTGGTCTGTTGCCTCAGTCTCCACTCCTCCCTTTTCTCCTACACCGAGCACCTTGCTTTCCTGGTTTCTGTCTTCTGCCTCACTCCTACGGAAATGGATTTGGAGACCCTCGCAAAGCCTCCATTTGGGAGGCCCACAAGTGGGAATTGAGCGTAGTTATTTACGAGGCAAGGAGAAGCTAGAAAATGGGTACTTATACAGGAGACTTTGGTGGAGAGAGGGACACTGAGGAGTGAGACTGAGACAAAGGAGAGACGGTAGGAGGGGCCACATGGGAGCATCTGCTCTGAATTTATACCGCCTGCTATTCTCCTGAGTTAAGAGGGAGGTCAGAATAAGATAAATCAATACCAATAAGCAGCCACGTTTTCCTCCACTACTCTGATTTCCAGAAAATGGTCTTCGTCTACCTCGATGTGGTGAGGTTGCCAAAGGGAACTCTCTTTTTTTTTTTTTTAATAAGAAGTATAAAGCTGGGGACAGTGGTGCACGCCTGTAATCTCAGCACTCGGGAGGCTGAGGCAGGAGGATCGCTGTGAGTTGGAGACCAGCCAGGGCTACATAGTGAGTTTCAGGTCAGTCTCAACTACATAGTGAGACCCTGTCTCAAAAAACCAAAACAAACAAACAAACAAAAATTTAAATAAGAAGTACAACAACTTGTAGGAAAGGACAGACAAATGACTCAGCCACATAAAAAGATAACCACCTTCAGTCGTGTGATAAAAATGCAAGTAAAACCATGACAAGACACTCTTTTCATCCCGCCCCCAGAGCAAGCACCCTCAGTTTGATAGGACCTTCTGGTGGAGAGGCCGTGGGGAAACGAGCAGGCTCATCTGTTGCTGACAGGAGCACGGAGTGATGTAGCCACCACAGGAGGAGATTTTATAGTTTATCAAAATTATCGATACACACTTCCTTTGAGGAAGCAATTCCACTTCTGGAAAAGTATCTTACAGCTAAACTTGCACCAGAAGGAGTCAATGTGTATTAGTGAACAGCAAATAAACACTGTAGCATTTTCTATAATACCAAATGGACAGGAATAAAAGAGATGTCTACCCACAGAGACCATTTAGATAAACTGTGGTCCAGCCGCCGGGTGGAATGGTGGATACAGTCAAAGGCTCATGAACATTATGTGCTGAAATGCAAAGACCTCCCAGGGAGATATAAGCAGCACGTGATGTGAAACAGACACAAACTTTGATTTAAAAGTAGAAAAATAAGAGTATTTGGAATTGCTTGTATATACAAAAAGGAACTACACAAAGATACACTGGAAATGCTAAGCTGTTACCTTAACTTTGGGGGGGTGATTGGGTACATGAAGGGACAGGGCTGGGAAGGGGTTTTGTTTTTTTTTTTCACTACATAAATGCTTATGCTTTACAGTTTCTGAATCATGTAACTATGTTACTCATTCAAAATTTTACATTGAAAAGATCTGTCCCCTGCATTTTTTCTACCTAGACTCCCACCCGCAGGTGCCAATTCTGGGCTATGAGGCTACTGGGAACAGTTCTGACCGTTTTGCACGTGGCAGGGCTTCACCCTCTGTACAGAGAGCAGCTGAGGTGACACACACCTGCTTCCCGTCCTTTATCCTGACACCCCCTGGGTCCCGCCACATCCCTGCCCTTCCTGTAGCTGCCTAAGTGCCATTCACTAAGTGTTTCTGGTTCCCTGCCTCTAGATGTAGGATGGTATGCGGGGCCTGCCTCTGGGAAGATGGAGAAAGCAGGGGTTAGTCTAGGCCAATCAACTGTGCGAGAGATGCAACTCTAAACCAGAGCATTTCAAACTAGCACTGGGCATCTGGAGCTCCCTTGTCCTTCATCAGTTACCGGCAACCCTCCAGACAGTGGCTGCTGTGAGTGGCTGCTCCCTCCTGGAGTAGGATGATGAAGGGGAGAGCCCACAGTGGAGCATAAGGAAGATAGAAACCCAGGTCTGAGACCACTGAGATTCCGGAGCTGCTTGTCTCAGCAGCACAGCCTGGCCTGTCCTGACTGATAAGCAACTGACATTATTCTGAAGCAGCAAGAGCAGCTGAGGAGGACCGAGATAAATGACTTTCAGGGTCAATAGGCAAAGGCTCAGTGGTCACACTACTCACACCACGGCCTGAATGATGCTCTGGATCTCCCGCTGTAGCTCCGGCTCCTTCCGGTACACTTCCAAGAGCAGCAGGGCCTGGTCATAGTTGGCACAGTAGACCTTATAGACTTGCTCGAAATCCTCTTGGAATTCCAGGAATAAGTGACCTGGTGGCAAACAGGCAACAAGGGGCTGTCAAGGGTGGGTCCGTGTGTCCTCTTGCTTGGGACAGGTAGGCAGGAAGTGAGCCAGCCCCCTCTGCAGTGAGACCACCCGGCTTCACCAACCTTGCTGGACGCAAGTTGTCTCATCTCTCCGAGTTTCTGTTCTTCATCTTAGTTTTATAGACTGCTGGGGGATTGAGCAGGGGTAGAGCACAGCTGCTGACCTGCGAGCACAAGGTGGGTGCCCCTATGCTTAGGACGGGAACTGTTTGGAATTTGGACTTTTTTTTTCAGATTTTGGAATATTTACATTTATATAGTAAGATATCTTGGGAACAGGACCCCAGACTAAACTTAGAATTCATTTATGTATGATGTATTCCTCTTGCCCGTGGTCTGAAAGTAATTCTTTACCACATATTGAGTGTACCTGTGTTTTCACTGGGATCCATCACTTAAGGTCTGTTGTGGATTTTTCCACATCTGGCATCAAATTAGGACTCAAAAGTTTTCGGGATGTTGGAGCATTTTAGACTTTGGATTTTAAGGCTAAAGATGATCGACCTACTTAATGAACGTCAGCTATGACTGCAGTAACAGCAGCAGTGATGCTCACATTTGGGCCGTGCTTTCCAGCCTAAAAATACACTCTGACCCTTAACTTACGTTACCTTTATGATTAACTACAGGTGGCAAGTAGAGTCAGGCACCCCCAGTTTTCAAAGACACGTGTAGCCCAGTACAGTTAATTGTGAGTAAGGGCGTGGGCATTAGTAAAAATGATGGCCAGATCTCAGAGTAGGCCTTCCCCAGTCGTGTAACCTGGGGAGGTATTTGACCCCTCCAATTCTCTGCCTTTTCATCTACAAAATGGGGATGCGATTAGTATTCACTTCCCAGAGTTTGTCTGTCTGTGTGTGTGTGTGTGTATGTGTGTGTGTGTGTGTGTGTGTGTATTAAATAAAACAATACATGCAATTCACCAGTTGTAAATTCATTCACCAAAGATTTGCCAATTGCTTATTTATTGATTATGTGCCCAGCACTCTGCTAAGCTCTAAGAATAAAACAAAGCCTCTGTCTCATGGGGTCTATAGTCTAACAGGGAAGACAGACAACAAATAAGTACAATTGGCCCTCCTTATCCGTGGTCTTGCACGCACAGATTCAACGAACCAGGAAAAATATGTCTGTGCCAACCATACACAGGCTTTTTTTCTTGTCATTCTTACCTAAACATTATAATATAATGACTATCTGCATAATATTTATATTTTAGTCATATAAGAAATCTGGAGATCTGTACCAACGCCCCATGAGGAATGTAATTATACACTGTAAACATGTAGCATTAGAAATTCTTTAATTGGAGATGATTTGAAGGATGTGGGAGGATGTTTATAGGTTATGCAAATACCGTGCCACAAATATAAAGAACTTGAACATCAGTGGATTTTGGTGTCTGAGAAGATCCTAAAACAGCCTTCTGCAGATGCTGAGGGATGCTTGTACACTACGTATGTCTTGAGTAACACGGACTAAAGCAAAGCAAACGGAGCGAGAGAGTTCTGGGGGCTCTGCTTGGGGGAGGTCTCCATGGAGATGAGGGTGTCTGTCAGATCAGCAGCGACTGACCCTGGGAATTCTGGGGATTCTCAGGGAAGTAGAGTTCAGGGCAGAAGCCCAGAGAGGGGAGCTTGGGTATGGGAGTAATAGCAAGAAGGTAAGGGCAGCTGAAGAAAAGTGAGCAAGGGTAAAGAAAGAGATGGTAAATCGAAGTCAGATCACACAGAGACTCAAGGTGCACAGCAAGGTGCTCCCATTTATTGTAAGGGTGGTGGAAAGCAGGGCTGGGGCTTTGCGCAGGGGTGCGGGGGTCTGATTTCTGCTCGGTTTCAGCACCTTGTGCTACCGCTGGAAGTTGGATAAACACAGGGAAGATCTGCAGAGCCCCAGGGCGAGAACAGCATGCAGGCTCATGAAGTGCTCCACAATTTAAAACCAGAAATGAAGGCGACTGGGTGCCGCAAAGGGGTGCTGGACGGAACCGGGTGGGAGGGATGGGGGAACGGGGTCTACAGAAAGAATCACAGAGCAGAAACCACACTCCACTGAAAGCACCTTTCTGCAAGGCTCTGACTCTTGGGACTATAGCAGTTGTTCCATAGACCTGGAAATACTCTAAAAAACAATGTCTATAAATTACAAAGAAAAAATACCAGTCCCATGTTGACATTAAACTACGGGTCAAAAGTGGTAAGAGGCAAGGTGTGCTGGGGCAGGGCTCTAATTCCATCTGTCTGGGAAGCTGAAACAGGAGGATCTTGAGTTTGAGGCCAGCCTAGGCAACTTAGTGAGACCCAGGCTTAAAATTTTTAAAAATTTTTAAAGAGAGCAGGGTACAGCTTTTGCCTAGCATGCATAAGGCCCTGGGTTTAATCCTCAGCACCACAAACAAAGTGGTAACAAAAATAGTTATGAGGAAGGTATAAGCAATATTCAGACAAGAGAATGAGGTGGCTTTTGCCAGGGAGGAAGTGAAGGTAAAGAGAAAACAATGTATTACCTGCGCAGGGCAGAGAGGAAGCAGAGACCACAAGAATTCCAGGCGACCCTACTGCCTGCCATAGACACTGGCTGGGCCTGTAACCTGGACCAGCCTCCCTTGGGGCACCACAGACGGTGCCCAGAGGAGCACAGTCCAATTAAAAGTCCCCACAGTAGGATTAACACCTTGGACAATGCCCTTTCCCTTGCGCAGGTCCAGCCAATCCTCAGGAATAACTCCCAAGAGAAGCTCCCAGAGCCAAGACGGGCATGACCAGGAAAGACGATCCCAAAGCTTCGGTTAGGAGGGTCTGTGTGATTAGAGGGGCTCGGCTGCCAGGGTCCTTGCAGAGGTGACGCTGCTGGGAGCTAATGTGGGTCTGACCATGAGACACAGCGCTGTCCCCACATTCTCCTCGGTGTCCCGAGGGACATCCTCAGGAGTATGACAAATGTGTCAAAGAAACCATGTCACACCCACGTGGCTGGAGCAGGAGTGCTTTAGTAGCTAACGGCGGAGAGGGTAAATGCCCAGCAAGGGAGAGGTGGGACACCTCCCAGGACACCAAAGTAAAGGCTTTTCCTCCTCTCCTGTCCTTTCGTGTTTGGGAAGGGGAAAGTCCGTTAAGATTGTTCAGACAGACTTGCCTGAGGTCTAAAAATCGTCTTAAATGCTCTTGCTATTCCTTAGGAAAAGGGCTTCCCTTGCATAGCTGACCCAGCATGCAGTCACACTAGAGAGAAGAAACACCGTATGGGCTCTTTGTGCCTTTTTGGCTAACCACAAAGGACAAAGGATGAGGAGGGTCCAAGGTTTGAATGTTTACCCCAGAGTTCATGTGTCGGAAACTTAACTGCCCGTACAACAGTGTTGAGGGGTGGGACCTTTAAGAGGTGATGTGGTCACGGGGACAGGTATCTGTGGGCTCCCGTTGCCTCTGACATGCTGTGTTTCAAAGATTCCAAAAACAGACTCCCTTTGAACTACACTTCCATGGAATGCTACACCAACAACCCCCTAGGTCTTTTGCTCACCAATTAGGTGCACCTGCTTCTCTTCCTTGGAGGCTGTTTCCTGCAGACCATGCAGAAATCTGCTGTTCACCTGGATGATCTCATCGAGGTTGCAGAACAGGACATCCAGATCTCCCTGCGGCAGCTGAAAGGAACGAAGACGTCACAGAGGTGGACGGTGTCTGGTTTGGGGGACTTCACTAGCAGGCTTCAGAGAGTGGTTCCAGACACTCATCTCATCCCGGTCCCACCCCTCAGAAAGACTGACAGCCCCAAGGGAATGTTTATTAGGATTGAAAATCTCACAAGTTGGGGTTTTTCTTTTGTGTTTTTTTTTTTTTTTTTTTTTTTTTTTTTTTTT